TTTTATTTTTTTTTAACTTTAACTTTTTTTTTTTTTTTTACTTTAACTTTGTCTTTGAACATGTATTCTTGTAAAATAAAATGAAAACAAAAACATCTCGACTTCCTTCATGAATGAAAGTGGGTGGGGTTATGGGGTGTGGCTATGCAAATATAGGAGCAATCCGATTGGCTGATGTGAATGGGCTGGGCTATGCTAATGAGTATAAATTAGCATAATGGGTGTGGTTATGCGAGGCTAGTGGTGGGCGGAGTTATGCAAATATGTGTGAATGCAGCACTGTCATTGGTCGATTGGTCACTTGTGGGCGGGGTTATGCAAGTAAATTTGCATACCCTGCTGTGATTGGTTCATTGGGTAATTTTGGGCGTGGCTATGCAAATAATTTCGCCGCGACGCCAGAGGCGGAGCTATGCAAATAAATATATTTGCATCGTACCTTCCGATTGGCTGTGCTAATCAGTTGTGGGCGTGGCTATGCAAATAAATTTGCATGTTGCTTTTTGATTGGCTGGTCCGAGCTGTTGTGGGCGTGTCTATGCAAATAAATTTGCATGACATGATCTGATTGGGTATGCAAAATAGTTGCAGGCGTGGTTATGTAAATTTATTTGCATGCCGATAATTTTTGGTGGTGGGCGTGGCGTATGCAAATAAATTTGCATGCTGCAACCTAATTGGTTGCCTTGACGAGGTGTAGGCGGGGTTATGCGAAATAAATTTACATGCCGCATTGTGATTGGTCGATTTGGGCAATTGTGGGCGGGGTTTGCAAACAAATTTGCATTAAAATTCTGGTCTTGCATGGGCGGGGCTATGTAAAGTGGGTGTGGTTGTGGGCGGCAACCGGAGTTGTCTGTGTTTTGTCCTGGAAGAAGTTTGGCTTCTGGTCTGAGCAGGTTTCCTGGGTTCATGCGCAAACACCAGAAAGGACAGCTCGCCCTTTCTGGCCTTGAGCATCAATCCAAGAAGTCTGCTCGGACCAGAGGCCAAACGTCTTCCGGGACAAAACCGCAACAACTCCGGTTGCCATTCATAACAAGGCCACTTTAATTAAACTCAGTGAGACACAAAACACGCAGACTCTGATTCCAGCCGAACTATATATTGACAAGCATTTTTTTAAAACAATTTCACGTCATATGGGCAATAAAGCTTGACTCAACTTCAACACCAACACTGGCTGACAGGCAGTACATTTAAAACCCTTGTGCTGCAGTCGATGTCAATAATTTTATTTAATGCAACATCCAATTTTACAAAAATTGTCAAAGTATTATTCCTGAATATTTATTTTACTTTCAACCACTTGACATGTTCAGTGGCATCAGCGCTATACATACACATGTTGTTTTGTATTTTGGTTTTTTTTTTGTATTTTTGCCCTCTATGGACAACAAAAGCGGTACTGTGCTATGACCAAAACATATATATATAAAAAACATGAATTAGAATATTTCATATCACACAATTTTTATGCCTTGTCTTTGATTTAAAGATGACAACATGCAAAAATCTACAAAAAATTGTCGAAATTGGAACACAAGGGTTAAGCCAGCAGCAGAGGACACCACGTTGTCTGCTTGACGAAGCATGGACTGCACAACACTGACACACTTGGATGCTGGCAACAACATCACTCACTGCTTCTGAACATGTGCTTTGGAGAAAATGTTGTATCTGTCATTGTAGATATTAATTCAACATTAATCCAGGAATGCCATTTCAAAGCACAGGTTCAGAAGCGTTGACTGATGAGTGTTCAAATGTCACACAGTCCATAAAACTGAGGCCAAAGTTCACTGAAGTGACATCATACAGCTCCCCAAGCACACAAAATGACGCCCTGTGCTGCTGCTGATGCTGCTGATGCGATTTTGTACAGCCCGTCAGCCAGTGTTGTTTTGTCTAACGCTGTCGTGTGAAGAGCACAGATGTGCATTTTGGTCATTTTTACAATGGTAACATTCAGCCAACAGAACAATGTAAAATAAATCAGTAAAATGACCAAAATAGTCATTCTGTCTGGCCTTGTGAATACTTAATGAGTACTCATTGAATATTCAAATTTCGATTACTACGTTAGGGATGTACACTTTGACTCCTTATTGCTGCAAAACAACAAAATGAACGTCTCGGAACAGTTCATATGTTTTAGAGTACACGCGAGAGATCATTAAAGTAATATTTTTTGTTTTTACGACGAGCTGACTATTCATTATTTTTAAGAAAAAGCAACTGTAAACCGTCGTTTACAATATAATTCGCCAGATAGTGATCTATTATTGCATTCAAAACATATTTGTACTCCAAGATATCTAACATGATTGATCGTTTTCGACGGTCGAAATAAATTTCCATTAAAAAATCGGATTAGCATTATGTCTCGTTTGATTGTGTGGATGCGCCCAATGTTTTGATCAAATCGAGACAAGCATAACAGAAGACAATGTTCGTTTATTTTTTAAGAGACAAATATTCTTTGAGGGAAGCATCCTGTGAAAAGGAGGAAAAGTTGAGCACGCGTTACCTTTGCACAACACGTCGCCACTTTTGCACGCAGACAGCCAGCAGCCGACTCGGAGACAACGTTCCTGCACTGTGGTCGTCTCCTGCGCATTAAAAAAAAAAATCCAAAAATGCCTGACTTAGATCGAAAGTACCAAAACTAACTTCGCTCACGTGTTGGAAGAACATCAAAAATAGGAGCAAACAAAATGCCAAGGCAAACAATGACTCGTTTCCGGTTTTGGTCCGCCTTTTAGTTCCGGGTCTCAGCTCAAAGAACTTGAAAAATAAATTCTGCACCTCGTTAATATGCGTCGAAAGACACAGGCAACGTTTTAAATGACTCAACCGTAAAAAATAATAATCATAAAAAATGTTTAAAAATAAATTTTAATGTCTCCTGTATTTCCGTGCTTGCTCTTGCCTTACGTCGTTCGGTAAACACAACCGAAACGGAGCGAAGGAGAGGCAGGCCCTGAGGAAAGGCCTATCTGTCCGATGGTGGTGGCCCTGATGAGACCCTCGCTGATGACAAAGTGCAGGGTGGGCACCACGCCGCTCAGCCCCAAGCCCACAAACACACCTGGAGCGAGACGGCGGAACACGCAGTCAGCGACAGATCGCGACAACCTCGGAGGAAGGAAAAAGCGGCGACGTCGGCAGTGACCTGCGCGGACTCCTCGGGACTGCGGCGTGGCGAAAAAGTCGCACTGGGATACGGTGATGGCGGAAAGGCCCAGCACGCACACCACCAGCAGGTAGATGAAGCACGGCTGCGGCGAGCAGTAGAAGGAGGAGTAGAGCCATGGCACGAACGAGCCCATGATCAGGAAGGCGATGCCGCTGTTGTCCAGCCTGTTGGACACAAATGAGCAGAAATTAAAAAATATATATTTATAAAATTAAAAAAAAAAAAAAAAAAGTTTTAAAAAAAATTCCTTTTTT